CAGGTCATATGACCCAAAGCTCTCCCCAAATCTGTATCCCTCCCCTGCTCCCAAGAGCCTTGGGCCTAGCCTGTCCTGCAGAAACTACGGGCTGGGCTTTGGCCCTGAAGCCTTCACTGGGGCTGGCAGCCAGCAAAGGGAGCCAGGAGGGGCGAGAGGCCCCCTCCTCAGGCCTGATGCCCCACCCACCCAGCCGGCGGCCTGTTTGCCTTCCTGAGCTCATTAACTGCAGGTCACCATTCAGCAGGAAAGACAAGGTGTGGGTTCTGCGGGCGTTCATTAGTCGTGAGAGGAACAGTGTGTGTGAAATTAGCAGTCACCTGAGGACCTCGATAATTTCATAATTAGGAGGCCTAATGGCTCCAGCTCTGGATGCCAAATGACTTAACCCCTCGCCTGCTGGGCCCCCAGCCCCCAGTTCAAGGCTGCAAGGGAGGGTCTGCAGCATCCCCTCTGCTCTAGTCCCCCTCCCTAGGGCCCAGTTGTGTTCCTTTATGCCTCTCCCAGTGCCCCGCACAAGGACTGGCACAAATGCTGTGCAAAAACAGAGTTTAGGGAGTGAATGAATGAATGAGCAGGTGTCTGAACAGGAAAGAGTTCTAGCCCCCACTGCAGGTGCAGGGGAGGAATGCTTTGGAAAGGGGTGAGGGATGGCTCTCCATCTGTGTGAGTAGGTGTGTGGCTGTGCACATGATTTTGTGTGTGTGTGCGTGTGTGCACGTGCGAGCATGAGAGTGCACACATGTGGATCTGTGATGTCTGCTTCAATGACCCTTGTGTGTGTCCATGCCCAAGCTTCAAACTATGAACATGCTCGTTCTACTTCTTTCTGTCTGGAAATAGAACGTTCTCCGTGTCAGGGTCCAAGTGCCTACCTTAATGCCAGCCTCTCCTGGCATTGCCTGAGCAGTGATGGCTCCAGAATTTCTATATGGGGAGCTTGGGGATTATTCCTGGTGGGGAGGGACTCTAGGGGGCTTGCCTTGAACCTGTACTTGGATAGCCAAGGCACTATTTTTACTTAATTGAGTGTTTGAGAGTCTGAGGGACGGATGTTAATAATGAGGGGCTAAAGTCACACCTTTTAGCAGAGGGGGAGCTGGTTAGGACAGCATCTGAGGACCTGCCCCACCTTCCACTGGACCCCACTCCTGAAGAGATGACAATGGAGGTAGAAGCGTGGGGTCCTTGGGGCTCCAGGACCTGGTGCGGGACTCCCCCCAGTCTGAGACGGCTGGCTCTGAGCTTTCTGGCCCTATCTCATTCCTCTCGCTCTAGTGGGGAGAAGTGGAGTGGGGTGAGAAGGAAGGAGAATGAAGAAACAGGGAGAAGAGGAGGTGTGAGGAGCACAACAGAGGAATAGGAGGAAGAATGGTGAAGAAGGAGGAAGAAAGGGGAGGAGGAGAAAGGGTAGAAGTCTGAAGGAGGTGAAAGAGAAGACAGAAGATGGGGGGGAGGGAGGAGAGGCAAGGAGGCTGAGAGCATTATCAGCACTTAAAAAGCCGGCAGCTCAGTTCTTCTTTGGCACAAATAATGGCTTTTTATGAATAAATCATGTGTCAGACGCCTCCCAGGGAGTGGGCATGGAGGGGGCGGTCTGCTGGGCTCCAAGGCTGCTGAGGAAGGGCCAGTTTCAGCCCCCCAGCTGCAGGGGTGTTGCCCCCTTTCTCCGGATGGGGCCCAGCAGGACAGAGCTGTGTCTGAAATGAGGACTGGCCTGAGCCAGGCAGAGCGCTGTCATTCCTCTGAGGTGGTCCCACTGCTCCCTGCTCATGAGCTGGGCTGGATCCCAGGTCTGGAGTGTCCCCCTGCTCCCCTCCCCCTGACAGATGGCAGAGCAGCCCCTAAGACACTCCTGGCAGGGAAACACCAGAGCTGGTGCTGAGAGAGAGAGAGGGAGGAAGAGAGAGAGATGTGCCAAGACAGGCAGGCACACCCAGAGAGGCAGGCATGCAGTGCACATGTGGGGACCGGGCTGGGGGGCACAGGGAAAAGCACACACAGACATGGGCCCCACAGCCCCAGGCCCTTGTGTGGGCACACTCAGAGACAGATCCACTGTCATATGCACCACACCCACACCCACACCCACACATTCACATACATGCACATGCCCAGCCATGTGCACACTCGGGAGACCTCAACCATCACTCAAACTGCTCCCCAGCACACTAACACCTAACACACACACATGCCCTCACAGACAGTCGCATATGGGGCGGTGTGGACACACACAGACCTGCATGCTCACACCAGCAGCCCACCCTCCATCAGCCTAGGGTGGGGGCAGCTCTGCAGCCCATATGGAGCCCAGATCCAGCTGGGCTGAGCCTGGTTGTGGGATGGGGCTAGGGCATTTCTCCCAGGAGAGGGGTTGTCAGCCTCTGTGTGCTCCCACCTGGCAGGGATACCACCACACCACACCAGTGAGGTCTGAGCCCATCAGCTGAGTCCAGAACCTATGTGGATCTGACTAGCTCCAAGCACCTCTGCTTCTCTGCTCCCAGCCACCTCCTCAGAGGCAGTGGGGGCCATGGGAGAGCCTGGGCAATGGGGGGCACCTATTCAGTGGCAGGGACCCTGGCTCTACCCCTTACTAGCAGTGTGACCTCAGACAGTAAGTCCAATCTTTTTGCTCTTCAAAACAAATTCATGAGACAGGTGCTACTGCCCTCATCTTCCAGACCAAGAAATTAAAGCTTTAGGAAGTAAGAGCATTGGGCATTCCCTTCTAGAATCACATTCTACGACCTTAAGACTCCCACCCCACAGTGTCTTGGTTTTCCTCTTCCCCTCTCCCATGGTTGCTCCTTCTCAGTCAGTGGGTCCCTCTCCCTGTGCCTAAGTGTTCTCAGGTGTTCATCAGAGGTGACTTCTCATTCTGCAGCATCCTCCCCAAGCCCAACACCTCAGTCATAAACTCTGTGCTCCTGATTCTCTGACCTCCCTCTCCAGCCCAGACACCATTCTGGGCTCTGATCCCACTATCCAGCTGGGTATCTCCAGGCCACCATGTTACCCAATGCCAGTAGATGCCATTCATACAGTATATATGCTCCTGAACTCCCCCCTCCCCACATGTCAAGATTCCAATAGAATATAACTCAAATTGAGCCTATTTGAAGCCAAGCATACCATTCGCTAGGGCTCCTCCTGCACCTATGATGCTCCCCATCTCAGGGAACAGCCCTGTATACCCTGGTACCACCCAGAAACCAGGCATCACTTGACTCTTTGCTCTCTCTTATCCCCTATGTCCAATCTACAACCTAGTCCCAATGACTACATCCGAAGTAGATGTGAACTCATCCTTTTCCTTCTAGCCCTACTGCCCTCTGCATTTCCTGGTTTGAACCACATCAGCCTCCCTGGCTGAGCCACACTGCCTCTGGCCCATTGGCCTCCCTGCCATCAAGAATCTTTTCATTGCAAAGCTTAACCACACTCAGCTGAAGTGGTTCTGGAATCCACATGCTCTCTTCACTCTGAATATATCACTCCCTGTCTGAATTCCTCCTCTTCCCAATGCCAGTACATCTTTCCAGGCTTAGCAAGACAGCAGCCTCTCTGAGCACCTTCCCTGACTTCTTAAGTCCAGGATGAGTACTGCCTCAACATAAAGTCGCCTATGGACTTATCCTTGCCCCCAACAAACCTCCAAGTTCCTTAAGGGCAGAGACTGCGCAGAGGGCAGCCCCCATTGCTTTGGTACAGGAACTGGCACTTGACAGGTGCTCACTAACTGTTCCTTGAATGAATGAATGTGCAGGACCTGTGCTGAGTAATTTACATACCTTTTCTCATTTACTCCTCACAGGAAATCCATGAGATAGGTGCTACTGTGCTATGGTGTAGACCAGGAATATGAAGCTACAGAGGTTGAAAACTTGCTCAAGATCACATAGCTGGTAGATTGCAGGGAATGAATTTCAACAGTAGTCTTTGCACCTCAAAAGTTCCTCTTTCCACCCTTTCTACCGTGCCTTCCTAAATCACATTCCCTCTCTGACCCTGTTTTCTCATCTGTACAATGGGAACAAAAAAATCCAATACAGGGCCTGGCATTAACAGGTTCTCAATAAATATTTGTGCCCTTCTCCCAATCTCTGAGTTGCATTCAGGACAGAATTTCCCCAGGCCCCAAACTTCCTGCATGCACATGTTCACAGAAGCAGGTGCAGAGCTTCACAAGGCACATCTCCAGCGTCCGGAACTCAGTAGGCGCTTAACCAATGTGTGCTGAGCAGACGAGCATCAGGGAATGCAGACACGTGCCCGGACACAAAGCTTCCATACAGGCTCAGGCGCAAAGACTCCCCCCACCCGCAAAGACCCCTGCCAATTATCCTCACCACTGCCCCCTTCTTGCTAGCCCAAGGCGCGGGAAATATTTAAAACAATTTTATTCATGAAAATATGCTGTACAATGCACTCTACACGGCCTCAACACGGCACACACGCACACGCACACGCTGACAGCACGGCCACGGTACACTGCCTACGATACGCGCCGGGGACGCCGCGCCCACCGCCCGCCCCGACAGGACACTTATAAATACGGGAGAAGGGGGCCAGAACTGGCGCGGAGAAAGGGGTGACGGCTTGGGGGGTGGATCTGGAGCTGAGGCCTGCAGGAGAGGCTGAGACCAGTATTTGGGAGTGGGTGGGCTGGAAAAAAGGACCGACTCTGACGGGGGGAGGGGAGAAGCTGGGGCTGTCTCAGGGATAGGAGGGAGGGGCTGAATCGTGGGGTTGGATGGCCAATAAGGCGTTAGTGAGCTTTTGGGAGAGGGTTGCTGGCACTGGGGAAGAGAGGCTAAGACCAGTGGGAAAGTGTGTCAGCGAGGAACCAGATCGAAGTTTGGGGTGGGCGAGGAGTCATGGCTAGGGCTCCATAAACAAAACCAAATTTCCAGAAATGTCCCCCGCTCCCAGGCCTATCTCCTATTTGGCTTTCCCGACCAGCGTCCACCTCGCTCCTCCCACTCCCACCCAGCCCAGAATTCAGCTTCTTCTCCTAGGCTTCCTGCCCCAGGAGGGGAGGAACTGGTCGAAGGAGTTTGGGCAAGAATGGTGGGATGTCCAGCCCCTCCCTCCCACTTCCCTGGGGGGTCAACTTCTGAAAGGTCTCTAGCAGGGCTCTGGCTGCCTCCAGGGGAGCTAGACTTGGAAATGGGGACCCGGGGTTCAGAATGGGAAGACAGAGGCCCCTTAGGGATGGGACCGAGACACCCAAGGCGTGGGAAGTGGCCCTCAGCCTGGCACCCAGCTCTGGTTGGGGGGCGGGGCTCCGGCCAGGCCAGGAGGCGGGGGAGGCAGGGCCGAGTCGAAGTTGAAGTCCATTTCGTCGCTGTCCATGAAGTCGTTAAGGATGATTGACTCGACATCACACTCCAGGCTCCCGCTGAACATGTCGAGGTCCAGGTCGGCTGGGAAGCGGTCGGGTGCGGCACCCAGCGGCCCAGCGGCGGCCGCCGCGTAAGGCCCCGGCAGTGCGTCCAACAGGAGGCCTCCAGGTGGGCCCCCGAAGGCGGCAGTGTGGCCGGGCAGTGCCAGGCCCGCGGCACCCGCCTCGCCGGGCAGCGTCATAAGGCTGATGGGGTGGGCTAAGGCACTGCGCGAGGGCGCCGGCGGCGCGTACGGGGCCGCCCCCTTGCCGGGGTAGGCGGTCGGCGCGCCCGCCAGCGCCAGCTCCCCTGGCGTGCCCAACACCGGGCCGGGCCTAGGTGCAGGCGGCGGCGGCGGCAGCAGTGCGGGCAGCGCCCCGGGGCGGAAGGGCGCGGCGGCTGGCGTGAAGCTGGCCTGCTTGTTCTCCTGGATGGTCTGCATGGGCAGGCGGCGCAGCGCGCCCAGCGCCGGCGGCCCGAAGCCCCCTCCTCCGCCGTAGGCGCTGCCCTTGCAGCCGCCAAAGTAGGCGGGCGTCCCGGCGCGGGCCCGTGGCCCGTACGCGTCCTGCGCGCTGTCCAGCAGGCCCTCGGGCAACCCCGCTCCGCCGCCGTGCAGCCCCAGCGGGCCTCCCAGCTCTGCCAGACGGGGCAGCTCCCCGGGACAGCGCGCGCCCAGGGCTGGCGACAGCGCACTGGCAGGACTCGGGTACATGAGCGGTGACGAGGGCGCCAGGGCCTCCAGGGTCTCGTCGTCCTCCAATTCGGCCGCCTCCCCGAGCAAAGGTCGCCCGCCGCCGCGGAAGTCAGCCCACGCCTCGTAGTCGTCGCTGGCGTGCGAGGCGGGGCTGGCGGCCCACTTGGCGGTAGCCGGCACTGGCCCTGAGGCTGGCGCACCCGGAGGGCTGTCGTCTGGGCTCCTCTCAGGTGCTTGCAGCTGCTTCTTCTTGCTTGCCTTGCCTTTGATGCGCAGGAACTTGGCCCCGTTGTCCATGGACACGGCCCTGCGCCGCGGGGTCTTGCCTGTCTTTCCGCCCTCGGGGTTCAGCATCCACCAGGAACTCTTGCCAGTGCCCTCATTCTGCACACGGATGAAACGGGTGTGCAGTGACAAGTTGTGCCGGATGGAGTTCTGTAGGCAGAGACAAGGACACGGGTGGAGAGTAAGGAAGTGAGGAGGCCATGGGGAAATAAGGGGTCGTGGTAGAATGAGTAGGGGAAGAAAATAAAAGAAATGAGGGAAGAGCCGGAGGGGAGAGGGGAGGAAATAGGGAGGATGAAAAGGTGGGGTAGGAAGGTTGGGAGAAGGGAAGAGATAGGTGTAAGTACCTGGTTGGACAAACCCCCTAGTACCCACTCTCTACCCCGGAACTGCACTCCACCCCCCAACCCCCACGCAGACATTACGGAGGGTGGGGCTGGAGCTTTGGGCCTAGCCTTTTCCAGGGGGCCAGTCCAACCCTAAGCACTACTTTCTGGGGAGGGGGCACCTACTACAGAAGTGGGATCCCTTCTCCCCAAATCAGCCAAACCCCACGTGGGCTAGCCAGCCTGCCAAGGCCCCCCAGCAGATTATGTAAGGACTCATGCCGCCGCGGCTCATTTGTCTGCCCCCCCTCCCTCGCTGGCCTGGCATGGCGCCAGGAGCCCGAAAACCCAGGGCTCCAGAAATCAATCTCGCGGTGACTGATTAAGCCCTGTTTAGAACTAATTGCTCTTTCGTGTGTGGGGAGAATAAATTACCTGCTTTAATTTCGTGTCTTTAAAATGCAACTGCAGGTAGAGAAGACTGTTAACCCTTTGCTGGGAGGGCCTGGCCAGGGAAAGTAGAAGTAGGAGTCTCCATGGTGGGTATAGAACCAAGACTTCTCAGAGATTTCATGGCATCCTCCCCACCCTGCAACTCCTCTGAGCTCCTGTGAACTCCACAGAGGCCTTGGATCCCATCAAGCCCTTCAAAGGACATTTGTTCATGGAGATCTCGAACCCCAGCTCTGCTCAGTTCCTGCCAGGGCAGCCCAGCTCTGCAGCCTGCTCTTTGGGCTATAGCCCACCCTCCCCTTCCGACCCACTTACCTGCCATCAAAGCCCCTTCCTGGAGGAGCCTTCACAAAACCCCCACAAAGTAGACAGCATAATCTCCATTTACACACAGAATACCTAGGCTCAGAGAGGTGAAGTGGCTTGGTCATGGCTATGCAGCCTTTCGCCTGTGGTACTATGCTGGGCTTCACCCACACACTTCCTCCTCTTAATTTCTGTCAGTCTCCAGTGCTCCTCATGTCACTGCCTGCTTTTGCCAGGCCTGTCCTGTGGACAGAGGCAGGCAGGGAGTACACAGCTCCACTGGCCACGCTCTCCACAGGAATCTGGGGTAGAACTTTGCTGGGCCTGCCACACCCCACCTGGTGGCCTCAATCTTCTGGCTCAGGCACTGTTGTGGAAAACAGCACAGCCTTGGGTATCAGAGGGCTGGGCAGGATGCTGTGTGACCATGGGCTGTTTACTCAAATCTTTGTAGGCCTCAGTGAACTAATCTGAAAAAATGGGCTATATTCAATAACCACCTCTTAAGGTTGTTATGTGAGCTAATGTGTGAAAGTGTTTGGTGAACATACCAGATAACCACAAACGTTAGTTAGATCCTTCACTTTGGCTAGAGGATCTCATCTCTTAGATCAACCAACAAATCTACTCTGAGTACATCTCCTTAGTAATGTCATGCCCTGGGTACAGCTGGGCACCAACAACTCTAGGAAGCTGGCATTATCCCATTTCATATACCAGGGAAGAGAGGTGCAGAGGCATGCTGTAACTTGCCCACAGCCCCACAGCGAACCAACAATGCCAGGTACCACTTCAGCCCTGCCCAGCTCCTGGACTTGCTCTTAACCTGCTAATCCACCCAACTGCACTCATGTACTCGTAGTCACTGCCCTGTGAGGGCTATCCTTCCTGCTTCCTTCCTAGGCGTCTCCAGGAGGAGGGGGTCTTCTTGTTGCCCAGTGTACCCTCCTACCCCTCACCTCTAGCTCCTGGTACTGACTCTTCTGGGCCCCCTGCTCCCTGACACTTTCTTGCCTTGGAAGGCAACAGCTGAGGCTTGACAGCCTTGTCCTGTGTGGTTTCTCCTGAGGCCCTGAAAGGAGGGGAGCTGGACCCCCAGGGAGTGGTGTTCCCTCAAGTAGACTCCCCCTACTTATTCCGCCCCTGCACCTGGCTCCCCAACCCCTCCCCCACACCTGTGTTAAGGATCCTCTGAGGCCTCAGTTCTTCCCCATAGGACTGTCTTGGCTTAGGATAAGCTCCACCTCCTCACTCCCTACTCCTCTTATCAAAGTGCCAGGCTGCTTCAGAGCCTGGAGAAAGGAAGTTACCAGGTGCCAGCACCTAGCCATACTGCCCATTCAGCCCTGGGCACTCTTAAGTATCCTTATCTAAGGTCATCTTCATGTCAAACTGTGACCCCTATCTCAAGATGAGGGCAGTGACGCTCAGAGTTAAGTGAGTTGGCAAGATCACAGAGCTTGTTAGGTGCATAGCCAGGAATTGATTATAGGTTGATCATACTCTGAGTACAAAGGACATCACGTTCCACCATGGGAGAGGGAAACAAGTCAGAGAATTCCCAAAGAATCTTAGGAAGCCAATATTCCACATAAACTATCCCTAGAAGCTGGTAACATGGGAAAGACAGGGGGCATGTGGAAAGGTCAAAATTTCCTATAATTCTTATGCTTCCTTTGAGAATTAATGAAAACTGTGTAATAAGGATGTATTAATATATCCACATTTCCTTCATAAACATAAATTTTTTTTTTTTTTGGCTGGGGCTGGGTTTGAGCCCGCCACCTCCATCATATGGGGCCATCGCCCTACCCTTTTGAGCCATAGGCACCACTCAAAAATGTTTTAAATTACCACCAAGACATGCTGAAAGCCTATGAAGGTTTGTGTCCTTTGCCCTCTGTCCCCATCCAGCCAGGTACCCATGGAAGCTCAAGCTCTAGCCTGAAATCATGGCTGGTTCAACCCTGGGAGAACAAAGGACTTGCCCAGGGATGCCCAGCACCTTGTAGTAGAGCAAGGATGTGAGCCTAGGCCTTCTCACTCACCAAACCTGACCTAGATAAAGTCCTTCTCCTAGTCTCAGTTTCCCCAAGTGTAATCTCAGAAGAAAAGCAAGTTGTACTATGGGAACCTTTACAGTTTGACACTGAAAATTCTTGGAATCATCCAGTCTGGAGGTTTCCAAACTTTTTTCTTAAAGAAATAGAACTGTTTATGTAAATGGAATGGAATGTAAAAATTAAAGTGTTATGGACTCAAGCCATGGGATAGCAGTGGGAGATGCGAGAGCCCTGCCCACTTAGTGTCCTCTCTCACAGAGAACAAGGTCCTTGGACAGGGTAGTGGAGGCATAGAGGGCTGCCATGCCTTGCCCAGGGCCACCAAGGGAGGCGGCTCAGAGTTGGGCAAGGATCTAGGCCTCTGACTGTTGAGCAGGGCTCTGTACCAGGTGTGCCCCAGGACTATGTCCCATGAGAAAAGCCCAGGCCCCACAGCCCAGTCTGGCTTCTTGGGGGCCAGCCACCTGGTACCGATCACAGCTCCCTGCCAAGATCCAGTGGCAAATACTGGATCACAACTCTGGCTCACCTGTAAGGCCTCCTGGGAGGCCAGAGGCCATGGAGGAGGTGAGGGAGGCAGAGAAGGGAGATGCTTCTGCCAGGCAGCAGTAACCAGGGCTCCCTCCTGGAGTCGCCTAGCAACCCACCACCACAGCCGCAGCCCTGGCATGCCCAGGTTCCCCTGGTACCCAGAGCTGGGACTGGCTTCTGGGGCCCCACACCTATATCCAGGCCCAGAGCATGTTCCTAAGGGAATTGGACCTCCCTGATTTGGTGCCCCAGGGAGACCATCTGGGGGCAGAAAGATAGTAGGTTATATCCCACACCTACCCACTCTATTCTCCCTCAGAACATGGGCAAGGGAAACCAGCCCCCAGGCCTCACCCACCAGGGAGAGGAGGCTGGCACAGGGCAAAGTGTATAGGCTCTGATGTTGGATCTGGATTCCAGTTTCAGCTCCATCAGCCATGGACAACAGGAGCCTAGAGTGAGATGATTTGAAGTTTCAATTCCTGCTTCCACTCTTGCCTCCCTGCAGCACTTCAGAAGTGGCCAGAGTGACCCTTTATTATTATTTTTATTTTTTCACTCTGTCACCCTCGGTAGAGTGCCATGGCATCACAGCTCACAGCAACCTCCAACTCCCGGGCTTAAGTGCTTCTCCTGCCTCAGCCTCCCAAGAAGCTGAGACTACAGTCGGCCACCACAGTGCCACGCCATTTTTTGATGCAGTTGTCATTGTTTGGTTGGCCCAGGCCAGGTTTAAACCTGCTAGCCTCAGTATATGTGGCTGGTGCCATAACCACTGTGCTACGGGCGCCACATCCAGAGTGACCCTTTAAATAACTGGGATCACGTCCAGTCCCACCCAGATCTCTATAATGGTCTCTATCTCACTTACAGTAAGGAGCAAAGGCCTGGTCATGGCCCTCACGACCCTCTTTGACCTGCTCCATCACTCCCTCCTATTCCTCCAGCACAGTCCACCTCCTGCAGTGCCCACAGAGAACTCTGAGCTCCTTCAAGTCTTTGTTCAGAGGTCACCTTTTGCAACAAGGCCCATCCTGACCTCTTAAAAACTGCTCTTCTCTGGCATTTCTTTGCCCCTGAACCTGCTCTAAATTTTTCTAAAGCAATTATCACTTTCTAAGTTAATATATAATGTATTTATTCTCTATTTTAATTTTGTATTTGTAGGGTAACCACTTACCTTTATATTAAAATAGCAGCTTCGTGAATGACCTTTATCTATTTTTTTTTAACTGTGCCTTATGTGTCTGGTAAAGTAGGTACCTAAATGTTTGTTGAATGAATGAATGAAAAAGTATATATATATGTGTGTGTGTGCAAAGCGGAGTAATACTGTATTGTAGGGAGAATTAAATGAGACTGGCAGAGTGGCTAGCATGCAATAGGGGCGTTTCCAAACTGAATGGAGATGAGAGTGTTGGAGAAACAAGTGGTGGAGTGGACAAAGTCAAGAACAGCAAATGTTGCAGAA